TTCGAGACTTCATCTTGAAGTTACAGTTCACAAAAAAGAGGAAGTTTATCAGTAGCAAAATGCAGGCTAAATTTGTGCAACACAAAAGCCAAACACTCTTAAAAAACGTACGATATTTCATATTTTGTTTGATACTTTTAGTTCAAATCAACCCTGACAAACAGTTACATCTCATAAAGGGCAGCCTATTTATGGTCCGAGTCAAATGATCACGTCAGCACAGTTGCAGAAGGCATTTGCTTCTGTCTACTTCTGCCCGTCGTTCATCGAGAGAGGGAGAGAAAGGGGGGAGTAGGTAAAATGAGGGGGGGTGTGGGGGGGGTGTTAGCAAAAGAGAGGGAGAGAGAGAAAATGAGAAAAGGATAGACAGCAATGGGTGGGAGAGGGAGACCTAAAAGAGAAGCTCACACACTTACATAGACACATACACACACCCTGGCCTAACTTTGCTCAACCATTCAAACCAGGGGCCGTTTTGGTTAAGCTTTGAAACGGACACAGGAAAGATTTCACTTACCCTCGATCCACGTTTTTCAGAATGTTAGGCAACAGGGGAGAGGAAAAGGTTCCTGGTATTCCCAAAGTAACCCGCCGGACTCCCCTCTTCCAGTGTAGTCTGTCTCCTGCACCTGGGTAGGGGGGGAAAAAACAGCAATTCCCCAACTTAATTCAATGAAGTTGTTTTTGTATTCAAAAAAGCCAAGCAAAGTACTTGAAAAAAGACTTTTTCATTCTTTCAGAAAACTCGATTAAACTCACAAAGTAGTTCGCCCACTGCAAATATTTTAATTTTACACAAATCCACAGCTACATCTACAATTAAAACACTCTGGCTGCTTTCAAAAAAATTGTAGAAACAGAATTAAAAAGTACAACAAACCCACAAATGCACTTATCAATGGGAATCCCAAGTCTTAATTTCAGGTCAAAAATACACCCATTCGTCTGAGCTTGGGGCTCCCATTCCAGATTGGGGGGTGGGGTTCCAAGAGTCAAATAAGTGCCTAAACCTTTTGTCCACCAGCACCTATTTTCAGCCCTTAAACCCCTTTCTCTCCCTATTCACCTTCAGACCAGCAGTCCAGTGCAGTGTGCAGCCTCTGCTTAGCTGTAGCTAGTGAGGCTGCCTGAGGAACTTGGTAGGCATAAAAAGCAGGGGTTGTAGCCTTTTTCCCGGGGCATCAGTTTCTACAATTAAAATCAACATTTTCGGGGGGCAGGAAAAATCTCCAAAAAAATCAGGGCATCACCAAGGGGTCCCCTTAGAAGAGTGTGAAGTTTGAGGACAGTCGGCGCTACGGTTTCAGAGGAAAAAATTAATTTCTAGGGCTTAGTGTCTGGGGCGCGTCAGTGCTAGCAGCTCTCGCTTGCTTGATTTCTTGTAGCCTTGCCAAAGCATTCATACAGCCAACGGAGAGAAAGAGAGGGAGGAGGGGGGAACAAAAGAAGGAGAAGGTTCGGCTGCAAAGATGCACAGAAAGGGGGATATGAAACTAGGAAAAGTGTTATGTGTTTGCGGTGTTTTTTTGCGTTACACTGCGGGAAAGCTTTCACCACAAACTCCAAACACAATCAACCACACGGGGGGGGGGGGGGGGGGGCATTGTTCAAAAAGAAAAAACAACTACGAAATGATTTTATATTCTCGCCATAAGTTCATTATCCATTAAAAAAAAACAAAGAAGGAACAGCAAAAACAGATGTCAAGAGTTGGAGTGCTCAAACAAAGCAAAGTTTTCATACTTTTTTACTCTTGGTGTGACCGGATTTTAAGCAGGGTCTCTGTAGGTTTTCTGTGTAGTACAAGGCTAGCTACAAAGATTGGAGAATATGTTGATCTGGTTCTACAGATAGTTTTACTGAGTAGCACAACCATGGTCCAACAGTACACACAAACCACGCGCACGCACACACACACACACACACACACACAGAGCCAGACAAGACAAAGGCCTCTGTGATTATTATAATAATACAAATAAAAACGATTTAAAAGGAAAATCAATGTCCAGCCATTAATAGATTTTCACATTAATATTTTGTTATGGAAAGTTCAATTAAAATAAAATCTTACATTTCATAAGTTGTCTGAAAATCATCTTAGCTTCACAATATTTTACTAATAAGACACAGCTAAAGCTAAATAGCATATTTTAATAAAATCACTGTTATTATAAAACTGTTAACAGCACATATATTAACTGTTTTTATAAAACTGAAACAGCACATTTATATTGCACTCTTGTGAATATAATTTGTGCCCCAAAAGTATACCCTTGTCTTTTACCTTTAAATCCTACAAGTACCATCTCGTACAATCAAAAAACAAAAGCACTAAGCTTCAGGAACCACACACCAAAACAGGAAGACTAAAAATACCCCAACAAAAAAACGTAAAAGGTAAGAACTAAAGTTTTTTTGTGTGTGTGACATTTGCCAGTAAACACTTGATTGAATTAAAAAGTACTAATTCCTAGCAATTCACAATAGTACCAAAAACTTATTACAGCCTTGAAAATGTGAAATATTGTATAAATAATGACAATACGTGGTTAATGAGCCTGTTCATCTTTTTTTCTTTTACTGAAAAATCAAAACTACACCATGCCTGCCCTCTCCCTCATATTACTTTCAGCAGATGTGTAGCAAAATCAAGAAAATATTGTTAAATATGACATCCAGGAACAGGTGCAGACAGAGCTTTCATGGCATACCCAAGACCACATCTTCACTCAAAAAAGCTCAGGCAATGGCAAAACAGTACATGCACACTGCATACATTTAGATTATTATTAATGTTCAATATGACAATGTGTCATGAATCACTGATCACATCTTCTACAGCTTTTTTTTTTTCTTCCAAAAGATTGTTCTTAAAGAGAAAATCTTGTGAGCCCAACAAAAAAGAAAAGGCAACAAGGAAACCACTGGAATTAATACATTAACTATAAAGCAAATCCCATGCCAAAACTAAGAAAAAGCAACGTGTACTTTTATCACATGTTTACAGGGTCATTGTAAAGACCACAACATTCATTTTGACAACAACTTCAACACTTTATGACACTTTTTAAAGCAGCACAGCGAAGTCACACATTCTATAATATTAGTCATACATTTGTAATTTTAATTGCAAATTAATTTCTCTGACACTGACTGTAATTTGACTTTTTTAAACAAAACAAAATACATATAAATACTAAAGCACAACAATAGGTTGCGATATTACAAATACTACCTGGAATATTAATTTGCCAGGCACACCTACGAGAAACGCTATAAAATGAACAGTTATACATAAGATAAAGCGATGTAAAATGGGTGCGGGTTTCAAAACTGCCAATTAGTCGAGTGTCGAAAAAAAAAATATGGATATTGAGATGCAAGTAATGAATTGTTTTAAAACGTGCATACTTGGAAGCTTGAACATTTGATTCATCGCCAAATAATTCTGCCGTGGCCACATCAAAGCGCGTCTTCAACTAACGTTAAATTCGAAAAATTCGTCATTTGTTTACCACTTCCACAGAGTTCTACGTTTCGTCATGCTGTCATCTTAGATGTCATTTGAATTTTGACGAACCACCGTTCTGATGTTCGAATCACAAAGACTGAACAATTTAATTTAACGTTAGCTGTCATTTTGATGTTAGATGATATGTTTTCATTCCTGTCTATACTGTTTAGATTGACAAAATCGCTGTGAATGGATCTAATGACCAAATCTCTTATTAGATGGAGCGAATTAAAAGAGGGGAAAGTAGTGCTTGTAGCTTGGTTGTGGGTGAGGGGACAGATACAGAGGGGAGTGGTTCAGAGCATTAACGTTAGACGCACCAAGAAAACATTGTCTTTAAAAGCTAACATATGCCAAAGACTAGAAGACCACTTTATTCGGTTTGCTTTATGGTGTTAATATAGTCAAAACATCGTTTAGGTTGTAATAAGTTGTTTGGACGTTATCCCGCGGGTTCCAACACGTTTTGGAGGTAGTCCGTTTAATTATAATAAGAAATGATGTTTGTTTTTTGGTTCAACACAAAATAAATAACTGTTAAGTGCCGAAACAGCTTGCACCAAACAACAAATTTAGTTACCAACGTCTTTCTATAACCCATACGTCATTTTCTGAAAGTACTATTAGTTTGTAGCCACATGTTTGTTACTTCTTTTTTTCAGTAAGTTAATAATAAGTGGTAAACGGGACCGATTTCACAAAGCTTGCAAAAAAAGTATGTCGATTACAAAAAAGTAATAATTATATAAACAAAGAAAAGTAATAATTACATACCTTTTATGAAAATCCTCTTCCAGTTTCCAATATTTTAAAAAGGTTGTTAACGTAATAAACAGTCTTGAGAAGAAAAAAAAAAAGTATGGAATTATGTAGCTGTTAGAAGTGTTCCAGTCACTGATGCTCTGAAGTTTGAAAATGGCGCCAATGTTCCACTGCAGCAGCTCAACCACTGTGATGACACGGGACAGATAAAAAAAATAAATATAAATTTTCCTCAGTGAAAAATATTTTTTTCCACAAATGGATCTGTTGCACTTTGGCTAAAATAAGCTATTCTAGTTATCTCTTGTTGAATTGTTTGCTTCTATAATTTATAATTATTTTTTGATAATTTTTGATAACCGTCAGATCATGCCTTAGTCGCGGTGCAGGTCGGGAAATGCCCTTGCTGGTTTACTTTTAAATTTCCAAACTACAGTCCTGAATGGCGCCCCCTGTTGTATTATCTGTGTATTTTCTTATCTTTTTTCTCTACAGTCGACGTCAAAAACTGTTGTTTTTTTGCGCCATGACTCCAACAAAAAAGAACTTTACAAAGTATTTACTTGAAATTTTGCTTGTATCTATTATGTTTATATTTCTACCTCCCATGGCACCTGTTATTTATTCATTTATTGTAGTTTTTTTCTATTTCCTTTATTGATGTTTAAAAATAATATTCTTTAAAAACAAACCTTGAACACAAAAAAGACCAACTCCAGAGTCAACTGTTGAAGTTTTACTAAATTTGGCAAACATAGCAACATATTCTCACAAGAGTACACAGAACCTGATATATAGACCTAATGTCTATGGCAGAGACAGAAACTTTTGGCAAAATTCAACAGAGCAGGGGCTAAAGAATAAACACATTTAAATAAATTGTGTGTGTGTGTGTGTGTTGATTTCTATATATATGTATCTATGCCTAGTTTTGAGTTTAGTATGCATTTGACATAGACATGCAACATGTCTGCTCCTAAAGCAATAATAAATATCGGAGAAATGAATTATGACTACATTAAAAATCACAAAACAATCTCTTAAAACATCTAGATACTCAACATACATTATCTGTGCATTACCATGACTCTATCATACAGTATCATTTACTGCAAAAGCAAATTATAGTCTGTACTGATCTTCACCGAGGAACAGAAACACCTACATTTATTGCTGCAATACTGACAAGGTATTTCATCAATAACATGCATTCTTCCTCTAATATATAAATGTTTACATTTAGACAGGCTATCCTTTAGTTCAGAAAATCTTGTTACAGGACAGTTGATCATTAACCAATGTAATACCAAGCCGTAATAACAAGTCTCTGAGGCTGAGGTCTTCTGTGGATCATCTGCTTTTAACTTATTTTAGTAAGACGGAAGGACAAAGGGTAGTTTACTTGTTCCTTTTACTAATGTACTCGTGTTCAGCATACTTAGAAAGTACACAAAGCGAGGTTCCTGGTACAATACAACTATATGAAAAAGGGAGTAAGGAACACTTTTTGACCACCATTGCAAACCCGAAGGTCTGTTTAAATTATGTAAATATAACTTGTGAACATGTTGCCTAAACAGCCACCCTTAGGAAGTTTATTCTACAACAAATTAAGATTATATACTCACAGAAGGACAAACAAATCTGGAACAGTGCTTAATGGCGCATTAAGCAATCATAATTACATTTTTAGAACATTTATTAGAACAGTTTAATTATTCACAACAAGGTATATTAATATATGACAGCACTAAACAGTTCATGCACAAAATATATCTAATCTGAGGTATGCCAACAACAGCAAAAAAAATACGATAAACAATAAATGAGTATTTTATTCTATATATGCTTTTGCAATCAGCATTTTTTCAGTAACGAATTAACCCTCCAAACAATCAACAAGAAAAACAATCTGTTAGGGGTCTTGAAAAGACAAAACAACCACAAGATCATCCACGTTTTCTGTGAATACACAGGATTACACAAATACATTGAATATAACAAAACATTACAGTTCATTTCAAATGAATCCCATTTGAAGGCAGTTCCACCAGGCTCACTTGTTGGTGTCCTGCACTGTTATTCCTTAAGGTAGACCTCGGAATATTTTGTTTTCAGCAGTTGGCCCATTGTCCTTATGGTTCCTTGTCTCCTCGGCTTCATTCTCCTCTTCCTCTCCTTTTCCCAGCATCCTCAGTGGCCATAGGAGACCATGCTGGGCATGTTTAGGTTTTTGACAGCAGGGCCCATTTTTCTCTTTGGTAAGGAAATAAAGCAGTGCATTCAGCCAGGCATTGAATGAGGCCAGAGGCCGAGTGATTTTATAACAGATGGAAACCATGCGCATGGTGTGGCACTGCACCTTACTTGTCACTTTCAGAAGCAGGAAAATGGTGCGAGTGACATGGAAGGGAAAGAAGCAAAGGGCGAAGAGCAGAGTGATGGTAATTATGGTCTTGATAGACTTGCGACGCCTGTTCACGTAAGGCGAGTGAGCACCCAAGATGATTGACATGCCCTCTCCCCCTATCCCTGCGACGCTTTCACAGCCTGTTCCACTTCTGACTCTTTGAGGAGGAGGCTGAGAGTGCAGCGTCCGAAATATAGTCAACACCACACGCGAGTAGCACCAGGCAATGATGCTAAATGGTGCAAAAAACCCCAAGAAATGAAGCGTGACCCCGTATGGGACGTAGTCATGGAACTCTCTATCAATGGCATCATCCCAGCAATTATTGAACATCTCCTCCCTCGTACCCTTACCTTCACGTGGAAGATACTGCGTCTGTGCAAAACGAAAAATTGGGCATGTTAGTGCAAAAACAGCAATCCACACCAAAACGCAAGTCCCCTTCACGGCTCGTTTGGTCTCCAAGGTGATGGTCTTCATGGGGTGACAGATGCCCAGGTAGCGGTGCACTGAGATACAAGTGAGAAAGAAAATGCTGCAGTAGAGGTTGAAGTAAAAGAGGAAGCGCACTAGGCGGCACATGAAGTCTCCAAACACCCAGTCGTCCCGCATAACGTAACTAGCCACCAGAAAGGGCAGGGATAAACCATACATGAAGTCTGTCGTGGCCAGGTTCACCATGTAAATCAGAGACGCATTCCAGCGTCTGGTGCGTCGAAAGGAACGGTAGAGAACCACAAAGTTAAGGGTTATACTGAAGACAAAGGTAAAGGAGTAACAAATTGGCAGGAAGATGTACTTGTAGGACTCGTCAATATTGCAGGAGCCAGTCACCGAAGAATTAAGTGAGGAAGAAAGCTGGGCGTCTGCAACCTTCTCTGTTTCAAATAAAACAGTAGGCACTCTTGTCGTCATTGTCGGCTAGTTCTTAGGGAGCGTCCTTGTTTCATCCTCCCATTCTTTGCTTCTGAGACCACATCTTTTCCAATGAGCAACTTTTTTGGAATTGCCTGCGATCTCCTACTCCTTGTTTAGTTTAACATCTAAGAGAGATACATTGCCGTTAGAATACACAAAATGGAACCAATTGTCAAAACCTTTGCAGATGTCATCTCAAGCCTTCCACTTGCTCTTTCTAGCCCTCCCCGCATCCCCCTTACTCTTTCACAACCCCTGGTGCTGTTTGCACATAGGTATATATGCTGCTGATTCAGGCCCTTTTCACTTCATTAACCCATCAAACAGTAACCACACTTCCCCTCTATGTCCTATTCTCTATTTTACCCGCCCCTCACATCAGGACTCTCTACCCCATTCCTTTTAGCATTTGTCAAACTACGCCTAGACTCCCTCTGGATCCATTTGCACATTAAACAACTTTGGGATGCTATGTCATGGCTATCCCTACCTCCTGGTAAAGTTAGCACACAGCTGACTGAGCCCACGGTGAATTGCTTATTGCCTACCACCTCTCAGACACATAAGACACTATGTCAATAAATGAGTGAGTACCCGAAGGTCACTAAATGACATTAAGGCAGTCTGCTTTGGCTGAATAAATAACAAGGTCCTTACTTGGGAAATAACACAACATCATAAACAGAGCTAACAACCTGAATTATAAATCACATTACCTATATATTGCAAGAGGTCACTGCCTGAACTTATTTTATGGCAAAAGACAAGAAGTAAAAAGAGTAACAAGCAGTAACAAAGAGTAACAATAAATATATATATATATATATATATATATATATGTAAAACAATTGACATGACATGCAAGGACAACAACAAAACACTTCAACAGTTAAATCTGGTTATGAGGTGTAAATGTTCACTTACCTATTTAATAGAACAATAAAAAGTCCTTTTTTAGAAAAAAAGAAAGAATCTTAGCATGAATAAAACACGAGGAGTACCTCTATTCCAACACTGAAAACAGTTAATTTGAATATCAAGCTAAATACAGAAGAGCAAAATCAAAGAACATCTGTTTGCATCATTGGCTCCGTACAGTCATTTCACCCTTGAATCTTTCCCTTTAACATCAGTTTCTCTAACTATTTTTACCATTCTCTCAATCCAACCCTCCTTGGTCATCTCTTGCTCCATGATCTGTCCCTCCCTCTTTCTTCTTTCCTCTATTAGTGCTGAGCTGGCCTTTTGAGAACAGAAACTCTGGCTAGGCAAAATACACACACACAACAGATTGATTTTAATGAACAAAACAATACACAAATCCAATCTTAATGAAATCCCTTTTATTCCACAAAATAATATTTAAGTATTTTACAAACAGTGACAACAACAATCCAGTTATGAGTTGCTTGGCAATGTATGTACACACACATACTTTGTGGCATTTAATGAGCCATGTCTTAACATGCGAGGCTTGGAATAATTGGCTTTGCCACTAAACAAATTAGAGTAATATTGAGCAAAGAAGCATGGCATGGCCTTTAGTGTCTTTTGTTGAAAATGTTGCTTTATCTGTTTGACCTATCAATTTTAAGAATGTAAACTGCAGTTTTAAATTCTCATTGGTGGAATAAAAGTGTCATAAAAAAGCTGAAATGAAAAACTATAAAAACCTTACAAGAATTTTGCAGTGATGATGGAGTGCTGTAGCTTTTCACAGTAAAGTCATTAGATCAGGCAGCTCTTGTAAACGAATGTCCGGTCATTTTGTTCCATTTTGTTGATTGTGCATCAGAGTGATGTCATATCTTGTACCTCCAGCAGCATGGCATCCTGCTCTGTTCTCAGCTGGTCCCTTGTGAGAAGTCGACCCACCAGTTCTGAACTGAAGTCTACACACACAGACACACACTTTCTCATTTATTCACATTAGACTATTATATCATCTCTGTAAAATAATAGTTAATGCTTCGATTTACCATGAATGTCTTTGCTTAGTGAGGTCCTCAATGCTTTCAACTCCTTCAAGCTGAAATTCTTCAAGTCATTTCGCTCATAGTGCCTCCTTTCTCTGACAGCCTCACTGGGAGCTATAGTCTGTGATGGGGGTCAGTGGAGTACAATTATGCATATCTTCACTACTATTCAAAAGTTTGGGGTCGGTAAGATTTTTAAAAGGTTTTTGAAAGAAGACTGTAATGCTCACCTAAGCTAGATTTATTTTATCAAAAATACAGTAAAAACAGAAATATTGTGACATATTATATCAATTAAAAAACAACTGTTTTTTTATTTTCAGCATCATTACTCCAGACTTCAGTGTCGCATGATCATAAATCAGAAATCATTCTGAAAATATGCTGAATTGGTACTCAAGAAGCATTTATCATCATCAATGTTGAAAACAGTTAATATTTTGGGGGAAACTGTCATACAGTTTTTAGGATTCTTTGATAAATAGAAAGTTCAAACGAACGGCATTTGTTTGAAATATATTTTTTTCTGTAACAATGTAAAAGTCTTGACTAACTTTTGTTCAATTGAATGCATTCATGCTGAATATTAATTTCTTTACTGAATTTCTTACTGACCCCAAACTTTTCAATGCTAGTGTACAGAACATTCCATTTATACATTACATATGAAAGTCTACATACCTATTTTGATAAATGTGCTTTCTCAATTAAAATGTATAAAATGAAATATGAAACATAAAACCATGAATATGTGATCTGCTCTAACCTGTTTTTGCTCCAGTCTCAATTTGTGTCTAAGTACACTCAGTGCAGCTCTGACATCATTCCTAAACCCTCTTGATTTGGTTTTCTTAGTCGTTGCAGAGCTTGAACCACACTCCTTCTCTAATCGCTGAATGCTGCCACTCTTACTGGACTGTTTTGCCACCTGAAAAGATAACAAAGAGCACAACAAGCATTTATTTCTCTCGTCATATAACAGACATGAGAAAAAAAAATGGCACAGTATGTCTCTATCTCTATCCTTCTGAGCACTACACCCACTGAAGTTGTTCACACTATTCACATTATGTTGCCACCCACACCCAGCAACAGTGGAAAAATATGCAGTGTGGCAAACTGGCAATTTATTTCACCTCTTTCTTTGCCTCTATTTCCTCCTCTTCCTCCTCACTTTCACTGTTATTGATGAAGCACAGCTGTAGATTCATCTGGCTCTGGAGCCTAGAATAATAAAGCATAGTTTCTAAAGATTTTATTTAAATTCAGAAGTAGTTGAGAAGATTCATTAAATCTTGGTGACCTTGATGACAGAGAAGTCAGACGACTGTTGCAATCATCCTCCATGTCCTCATAGGATTCTCTGTGACTGCTCAGCCCTCTGATTTCTGGCCAGTCTACTGTCAGCTTGTCCAAGTCCTGTAGAAAAACATTTTAGTATAAATTCATAGCAGCTGTTACTGTAGATAAGTAGACAAGGAGTATTTATTTTTCATATTTTACAATTTAAAGGGTTAGTTCACCCAAAAATGAAAATTAAGTCATTAATTACTCACCCCCATGCTGTACCAACCCCATAAGACCTTCGTTCATCTTCGGAACACAAATAAATATATTTTTGATTGAATCTGAGAGCTAGATCAGTTCTACATAGAATGCCTATGGGACTGGCTCTTGACGGCCCATAAAGTCATTAAAGAAAATGTTTAAATATTCCATGTGCCTACAGCGGCTCAATTATAAGTTTATCAAGCGACGAGACTACTTTTTGTGCGAAAAAAACATAAATAACGACTTTATTCCACTATTCCATTACTTCCTTATGGGCGCATGCGCGAGAACTGTTCTCATTCGTCTACTTCTTGTTACCGGCTGCTCACCGCTCAGGAGTTTTACCGCCCCCTACCGTATAAGATGATGTGCTGATATAGCTGGAAGCGCAAAACTTTCTGTTTACAAGCAGAGGAAGATGCGCGCTGTACATACGCTTTTCAATTTGCATATTTTCCGCACTATAAGGTGCACTTAAAAGCCTTTAATCTTAATCAGTGTTCCTTATAATCCGGAGCGCCTTATATATGGATCATCATTTTATACGGTAGGTGGCGGTAAAACTCCTGAGCGGTGAGCAGCCGGTAACAAGAAGTAGACGAATGAGAACGTCCTTGTCTCAGTTCTCGCGCATGCGCCCATAAGGAAGTAATGGAATAGTGGAATAAAGTCGTTATTTATTTTTAGTCGTTAGTTTTTTTCGCACAAAAAGTAGTCTCGGCGCTTGATAAACTTATAATTGAGCCGCTGTAGGCACATGGAATATTTAAACATTTTCTTTAATGACTTTATGGGCCGTCAAGAGCCAGTCCCTTAGGCAGTCTATGTAGGACTGATCTAGCTCTCAGATTCAATCAAAAATATTTTTATTTGTGTTGCGAAGATGAACGAAGGTCTTACGGGGTTGGAACAGCATGGGGATGAGTAATTAATGACTTAATTTTCATTTTTGGGTGAACTAACCCTTTAAGGCAGATGAATATCTTTACTTTCATTCAGACCTTTTCCCTCTGTCTCTGCTCTTCTTGTTGCTTCTCAAGTTCAGCAATACGAAGGCTCAGATCCTCCCAGTGCATGATGGGTAAGCCCAGGTCATCTTCAGGGTATCCCTTTTGCCATAACAAGGCTGCCCCCTCTGCATCTTCCTCTGTCTCATCACTCTCTTTTTCATTTCCTCTCTCCCGCTCTTTTTCTTTTTCTCCATCCATTCCCAAGGCCCCTAAGAGAATAAAAGGGGCAAGGGGCACAAGGCCTCTGAAGATTAAGAAGTCAATATATTTTAGGTTTAAAAATGTTGTTATTTCTATAATTCTCAAAAAGCAGCAAGGAAAACACCCCTTTTAAGGTGCAAGTTGAAGGAGAAAACTTAATGCCAAGAAAATATAACTTCACATTTTATTATTACCAACATTTCTGCAAAACAAGTGGCCTTTGTCAAGGTAAGGTACACACCATGATAAAGGCTACTTGTTTTGCCGAAACGTTGGTAATACCACATGTTTATGGTGATACTATGAATGAAGCTGCCTCTCATAGTTCTGTTAAAGAAACTGGCATCATCAGATAAAGACATATATTTAACATTTAACAATAATTCATTAAAGCTGAGTATATGTTAGTACTTTTTTAATTACTGGAATATAATGCAAAGGCGGCTATCTTTTTAAAAATATATTTATTCAATGAGCTAGTAGGCTACTTTATAGGCTATACTAGCATTTATTCATTTGCATCTAGTCCCAATGTTGACAATAAATTATTCAACTGTTCATTACTGGTTCGGTAGTTCATACATCACTCCTGACATGTATATTTATTTTTTTTTGTTTTGTTTAGTACTTATTAAGTACTAGTATTTATTCTAGTAACTTAACTATTCAAATTATTTCATATAACTATTTCATTTCATTTATTTCATTTGTAATATATTTTGTAACATGTACACTTGCTAAAACGGCAACATCTAGCAACATTTGTGTTTTGTTTGTCTTTCAAAAAACATTATGGGCGGAACATAAAAAAAAACAATTCCTTGAAACGTTACAACATCCAGAACATGCATGAGGAGCCATCTAACGTATTTCCTCAGAAGAAACTGCAATATCTCAAACAAAACATAAGTCCATATTTTAAGTACATATCCATATTTTAAATAATACATTCCAATTATTTAAAAGTCTTGTAACCTGGTGCTAACTTTTTGGCCACGTATTGAACTGACATAATGATGTATCCTAAAACTTTTATTGCTTTAGAGCTAACGTAATACTTACTTTTCAGCTAGAATGTCTTTGCAAATTCTGTCCAACAACTCAAACCTCAAGCAAATTCCATCGTTTTCTTGAGGGAAATGTCTTTATAACTTGTTTTCCTCTGAGTTGTCCCGTTACGCGCCCTCCTCGTCTTCGTTTATCCTTCACTCTTTTTCATCCATGAAGATGAATTTCTTTTTCGCTCCTTCGTAAACTTCGATATCTAGAGGGTTATATTGTGTAGCAGAGGATTAAATCCGTTCAATCAATCCGCCATGTTCTTTAAACATCCCCAACGTAGACATCAAAAACTAAAGGAATTTGGCGACGTTTTGTTATGGGGAGAGAACGCGAAGGGAGGAGAATGAGCGAAGAGAAATAAAAGGAACTACTTCAGGTGTCTAGTTTCAGTCAATTTACAAGTCGATAATCTTTACAATCCTAGCATGAAGTCTCGAAGAAAAGCTACTGCTTGCACATGAATGTTTGTTTCCCATATTTTTTTAAGACGAAAGAAAAAAACTTGGGGTTGGGTGTCAAATATCAACAAGTCTAAGCATGCTTAGTTTATGACAGCCAAATTATAAAGACGAATTACTATTTTCATGGTGTTTACACATTTTATTTTATTTTTTAAAGCCTCGTTTGAGGACAAAACATTCTTCAAATATCTATAATTCACGGGATTACAATTAATTAATCAGAACAATCAAAAGTTGCTGGTGTTGTAATCCATCCGTTTAACTGGATAAACAAAGAAAATATTGACTGGAAGAGGGAGATGAATTGTTGCGAACTGACAGTTGAGGAACTCGGAATATTATTAACGAAGTGCAAAAAAGTTTGTTTCAAACTCTTTATGACGTTGCACTCTGCTGTCACTGTACTTCCGCTTCCTCCAAAGTCAGCTGACTTGTCTGGTGACTGTTGACATTACCGAGACCAGAAAAAACTTAACAGGAACTTCTAAAAGATCAAATGACGGTCGAATAAAGTTTATTTTATTTGAAACGATCCTCAGGTTTCTCTGGTAAACGAAACCTGACAAGCATTTATTATTGAAATGGCTTCTTTGCTTTTCTGCGGTCCTAAACTGGCCGCATGTGGACTGGTCCTGAGTATTTGGGGTGTAATTATGCTGGTAAGTTCAATATTCTCTATTGTGTCTCTGTTCTTGTTTTTTTTTTCTATTCATTGTTTATAGATACTAAAAGGCTTTTAAAATACATTAATTGCCCATTTCTTAACGTTAGTAACTAACCAGTAAATTGCCTTCACACTTAATTTCAATAACATGCAGACTTGCATAGTACCTATTGTCCTGGAAAATTGATTTTTTAAAAGTTTGAGGCTCCAAATGTCCTATCTATCTATCTATCTATCTATCTATCTATCTATCTATCTATCTATCTATCTATCTATCTATCTATCTATCTATCTATCTATCTATCTATCTCGAAATGTGTTTTATTTTGCAGAAATCCTTATCCAAGTCATTACAAACTCTTGTAACTTTTGGAAAGTCATGGAACAAAAATCATATCCTGAATATGATATGTCTGTGGTGGGATAAACGCAGCCCACTTCATAATCAACATTTTCTTTCTGATTTCTCTTAGGCAATGCTGGGGATTTTTTTCACCACACATTCAGCTGTGCTCATAGAGGATGTGCCTTTCACAGAGGAAGACATCCAAAACCCGTGAGATCCTTTTGCCATTTACTCATTTAGTCACCCTGGAAAATAAGTCTGTCTAGCATAAGGAATGTCACATATAATTGGAAGGCTTTATGTTAGTGGCTATGACTGGCTTCCTTCCCCTTTTCCTTCCCACAGGCAGAGGTGTCTAGATTTGCAGTCCAGTCTAGTCAGAATTTAGCCTATTTTCAATTCAAACCAACAATCTTTTCTCTGATTTCAGGGATACGCCACTGCAAAACATCTATAAACTGTACAACCAAGTTGGATACAATTGCTTCATTGCAGCAGTAATCTACATTGGTTTAGGATTCCTATCATTTTGTCAGGTTCGCCTGAACAAGCGCAAGGAATATCTGGTGCATTAGTACCTGTTTAACTCTACCTCTAATGTTTAATTCTCTAATGTTGCATTTGCCTTAAAATGAAGCTTAAATGTGTGGGTTTGTAAGATGGAATAAGATTATGTATTTTACTGTGCTTTTCTTTCTTGCCTGTCTATCTTAAAGCCTGTCATCAGAGTGAGATTGATCATTGTGATTAGTACCTCACACATTTGCCTTTTGCTATTTTGATCTGTGGACCTACCAAATTATTCAAAGATATTGGTTATCTTCAAACGCTGTTGATATATGATTTAATTGTGATTTTTATTTATAATTGCACACCTGTCAAATAAACAATCTCATGAAGTAAATGTTGAATGAACTTGTACAATATTCACATTGGTTGTTTTCACAATAATTGACTCAAGATCTTGCCTTGATACAGTTTGTCACTATAGAAATTGGTAAGTGTAGTCCTTCTGAATGTTTGATGCAGAAATAAAATGATATTAAAACAATTCTAGATGAAATAAATGGAATTTGACTTTATTTGCAATGTAAATGAACTGTACAGGGACTTTTTTTCATATAGCTGTTAGGAAAAATCATAGTAATAATAATTCATTTTTCATATAAAGTGCATTGTATGACGCTGATGGAAAGATCAAGAATACAGTGATTAAATATCCAGAGAAACCAGTATAGTACAATCCAAACAGTCCCTTTAAATATAAAGTTTAAATGCATCTATTTTTATTATTTTAAAAAGTAAAATAAATAAAAACCCTCTAAAATTAATGGAAAAAAAATTGCAACAATGCTTTGAAAAATGTTACAAACTAAATAAATGATATAATTACGACAGTGTTTCTGCTGCAATAAATGCAACTCCCGAGACAGGCATTGCTCAAGGCTATATCTAGGAAAGGCACTTTGGTTGTTAATTAAAAGTGCTAATTTTAAGTCTTAGCTACTCTGGAAAATTTTCACTGATGTATATATACATATACAATTCAAATGAGAGTTTCTCTAAATGGTGATGCTATTTTCCATGTGGCTTGGACACAGGTAAAGGTACTGGAGTTCCCGTCCCTCGTTCTGAGATATTATCTGCTCCTCCAGTTCCTTCAGCTTCTTTCTGAATTTGTCAATCACCTTCAAAGCAGCAGGCTCAGTGAAGTACATTTCCACATACTGACCCATTGGGATCTGAAGGAAAGAAAAGAAACAGAGAGGTGTTACAATGAATCACTGTATTAAACTTTAATGCTTCATGGGAAGAAATGTCTTTCAGATGTTTCAAGTTCAGCTAATCGAGGTCTTTCAGGATTACTAGAAAGTTACAGGCATGTTTGGTTTGATCAAGGTTGGAGCCAGACTCTGCAGGAAAGTGGACCTTGAAAGCCAGAGTTGAGAACCCCTGGATTATAATGTACCTTATACAACCATAAATGATGTAAAAGCACACTTGTGACAGCCAGCACTGTTGATTGACCCACCGCATCTGGCTGTGCCCGACCCAAATGCCACGTGATGGCCATCTGCACACAGGACTGGCTGATATCAGGGAGTGTGTCCATGATCAGGCCCATGGTGACAGCATCCTTATCTGTTGGTGGAGGGTGCCGCATGGTGCAAGGTGTGTTGGGAACCCATGCGCACCAATCAAACTACAGTACAGAGAGAAAGATCAACAGAGATCACAATCAAGCATACAAGTGGTTTGATATTTGCTGTGTGGTTAGGGGCAGCTGTAACACAAGAGTTTCTATGATAAAAAAAAAAAAATCTTAATCTATAATGGCAAATATTTCATTAAATTATCTACTTTTAGACTGTTCTTAAGTCATTGGTTGATCAATTTATTCTAGAAAAAACAAACGAATATGGAAAATTGCCCTCCATTCATCCCTAGTAACACACTCCCTGTAAATTATTGCGTTCCTGGTAACCTGTATTTAATATAGTGTAGAAAACGTATGTCTGATGTCTTTAAAGTAAGTTTTAAGATTTGATGTAAGATGTTAGAGATGTGTTTGTTACCTGTCCGTTGTTGGTGGCAGCATGTTGGGCTGTGCTGGTAAAGATTACCACGCTTAACAGTGTGATCAGTTCTTCTTTTGTCTTCAGCTCGCTGGCTAGGCCTGGCATGCAAGAAACGACAGTGGTTACTCCTGACAGTCAATTTCAAGAACCATTTATTGAGCTCATGGTGTTCATTTTGATATTTTGACACATACTTTGAAACCCGGCTACAGCATCAGTTTATTTGAAATAGTTTATTTTGTATTTTAGCACATCCTGAGCATCACAGACATGTTTCTTTTGCTAAAGTCCACATGGGGGCACTGTATCTCTATCCTTTATGCTCTTTATGACTATAAAATGCAATATTTTTGATGTGTGTATTATATGGGTGATTTACACTACCATTCTATAGTTTTGGGCGGGTAAGATTTTTCAAACATTTCTTTTTTTTTTTTTTTTTAAGTCTTATGCTCACTAAGGCTGCATTTATTTGATAAAAGAATATGTAAAAACAACAGTATTGTGAAATACCTTTCCAACTTAAAATGACTTTTGTATTTTAAATAATGTTTAAATATGTAATTTATGATGGAAAAGCTGAATTTTCACATGATCAGTGTCACATGATCCTCCAGAAATCATTATAATATGTTGATTTGGTGTTTAAATAACAATGTTGAAAAAAAAAAATCAATGTTGAAAACAATGTTGCTGCTTAATATACAGTATTGTGGAAACCTGATTTTTTTCAGCTTTCTTTAATGAAAAGAAAGTTAAAAAGTAATGTATATTTTAAAACAGAAATCAAATGTGTCATTATAAATGTTTTCACTGTCACTTTTGATCAATCAAATGCATCCTTACTGAATAACAGTAAACTTTAAAATAAATGATGTTGACATCAAACATTTACATGGTAGTGTATATTGTCAAGCCTCAATAAATACACTGCACAGGGTTTATCAGTTATCCACTACACAACATCTGTGAGTTCAGTGATGCAGTAATGTATTTGTATCTTACCAAAACTAGGCACATCCACAAAGCCCTCCACAGCCACATCATTAATCCAGGCCTGCAGTTCTGAGTCCTGTTCCACTTCACTATCACTCTTGTAGTACAAGGAAATGATTCCTGAAACAAAACTGAGAGAAAAAGAGCATATAAGGAAATGGGTCTGTTTGTCCAGGAACTTTATTTACATATTATGCACAGCTTCATTCATGTGTAAATGTCTGAAAAATTATTTCTATTATATAATCACATTCATAAGAATCAAAAGCACCGAATGAAGAAATCCTATTTGATTAAATTACTTTTTAATCGCATCCCACAGCATCAGAGAATGGTCCCTGTAGAAATAATCTCTTAGCTTAGTAACCCCTCTGTCCAAGAAGTCAAATCTGGGCTGGAGGGAGCGATAGGTCAATACCTTATACTCCCTCTTTGCCAAAATCAAGAGTCCATCTCCACCTGTTGATACCACCTGAAAAACACAATTTTTCAACTGATTATACTACTGTTCATAAATTCGAGCTCAGCCTTTTTTATTTAAAAAGTAGGTTAAAAGAGTAGTTCAATTTTAAAAATAACTTTTGCTGATAATTTACTCACCCCCATGTCATCCAAGATGTCCATGTCATTTTTTCTTCAGTCGAAAAGAAATTAAAGTTTTCGATGAAAACATTCCAACATTCCACGAACCAAATGGTCAAAATGATCAAAATGAACGAATCTTTTTTTGTGTCATTTGGTTCATTCAACGAACGAAATGAACGATTTGACTCGGAAAAGATTCGTTCATTTCGATGACCGAGTTTGAACAGGAGAGTCACGAACAGAGCAAGGCGACCATTTGTGCTTATAAAACTCAAACTTCGTTATCTATTTATTAAATGAGCGATCGTTTCGCTTGATAAGACCCTTATTCATTGTCTGGAATCGTTTAAAGCCGTTTGAACAGTTTGCACTGAAACTGTCTTTTGGACCTTGAACCGTTTGGTTCCCATTGAAGTGCATTATATGGAGAAAAATCCTGGAATGTTTTCATCAAAAACCTTAATTTCTTTTTGACTGAAGAAAGAAAGACATGGACATCTTGGATGACATGGGGGTGAGTAAATTATCAGCAAAAGTTTTTTCAAAAGTGAACTACTCCTTTAATACTTTTATTCAGCAAGGATGCTGATCAAAAGTGACAGTAAAGCTATTTATAATATGATTTAGTAGCAAAAAGCTATAAAGCTCAGGGGTATGTTGTGTACAGACCACTAAGTTGTGGTCTTTATAATAATAATAATGATGATTTGTAAAGCACTTTACATTTGACACCAAATCTCAAAGTGTCTCTTTGAGTGCTACAGTAAAACATAGTTAAAAGTAAACATAAACAATACAGTATAGCATACAATAAAAACACAACATGTTAGATGGCGGGACTAAAAACAAACATTAGCTATTAAAATAAGCCTGTGTAAAAAGATGGGTTTTTAGTCCTTTTTAAATGTGTCTACTGTTTGCGGGGCCCTGAGGTGGTCCGGGAGAGCATTCCACAGGCAGGGAGCAGCGACTTGAAAGGCCCTGTCACCCATTGTTTTGAGCCGTGTCCTGGGCATGAGTTGATGAAATAGGTGTGAGCATCTCAGTGAGATAAGTGGGGGCCACACCGTACAGACAGTGATGGGTCTGAAGGAGGACCTTATATTCTATGCGGGACTGAATGGGTAACCAGTGCAGTGAATGGAGGATGAGGGTGATGTGCTCATGTTTTCGCACCCCCATCAGGACCCTGGCAGCGCTGTTCTGAACATACTGGAGCTTTTGAAGGCTCCTGCATTACAGTAGTCCAGCCTGGAGGACACAAAAGCATGGATGAGTTCCTCTGCAGCAGAAAGGGAGAGGGAGGGCCGCAGTTTGGAGATATTGCCAGGTGACATGATTGTCATAGGAAAGGTGGGGTCGAATTTTACCCCTAGGTTAATAACAAAGGAAAAGAGGGGAGTGCTGTGTCCAAAAAATGAAACAGTGGTGATTGGAGAGAAGCGGAGTTGATGAGCGGTTCCAGTTTGAATGGCCTCTGTTTTGGAGCCATTTAGCTACAGGAAGTTTTGACTCATCCACGCCTCTATCTCCTCAAAGCAGGAGCTAAGGCGTGTAGGAGGGAGAGCTAGAGGGCGTAACTTGAAGGTAGAGTTGTGTGTCATTAGAGTTAAAGCCCCTAGAGTGAAGATGATACAGTAAAAAGGTGCATTTTTGTGGGCTTTATTGTTTGAGGATGCTCACCCTTTTGAAGATACCATCTGGGGAGATGAGCTGTGTTCTGCCACGACAGTTAATCTCAAGCGTATACCTCAAGTGTGGAGTCAAGAGCTGCAAAAAAACGACAGAAAGAGAAGACCCGTAACATACAATACAACTGGACAGTTTAATGAATGACCAGTGATTAGCTTTGAAACATGCAAATGGTGCTTTTCTAAAAAGCACTTTTTGGCACTTCCTCCAACCTTATATATAGGGTGAACAGCAGGCAGCTGACGCAAGGTGGCCATACAGATCACTTCTACCACCAAGTGTGTGCGTAGCAGATGTGATAACACCTGAAAGATCTGGAATTCAGCATGACGAACCCACATCTTAGCCAATAACCAGGCCAAAGGGGGATCGCTAGGTAGAAATATGGGTGTGTCCTTATCAGGTTTCTGTTCAAGCTGAAAAAACAGGAACAATCAGTTATTGTCATTCCTGGATGCACCCTCCGTAATGTTACGGTCACAGATTGTCACCTTTCAATAGGCCTGCTAATAATGTTTTTCTTTAAAGTCCCCCTGTGGTGAAAATCAAGATGCTTTAAGGCATGCTTTTTAAAGCTTTAAGATGCTTTAAGGCAAACCATGTACAAATGCATAAGTCAACATCATTGCTGAGTATTTTCTTAAAACTGAAGTGAACCAAAGACAGTCTCAAACTAGCAGTTTGAAATTGCGGGTGTTTCTGACGTCACAAACTACCTTGTAACCAATCACGTCAATGAGTGATCGTCAACGAGTGGATCTCTGAGCTGGTGCGAGTGGAGGCGGGTCCAATTTGCATATTAATAAAACTGCATATGAGGCAAGGGTGTAGAGTTACATTCAACCTTTTTTAGGCATGATCAAATATGTGTTTTAAGGGATACATTTTTTTGACAGGGGTACCTTTTGAAAGAGTACTGCCTCAGTAACAGCTTTTGTAACTTTTTTTTGAGAGTGTACTACTATTATTATTATTATTACATTAATAACAGCAGTTAAGATTGTGGCACATACAACTGTTTTGCCACTCCTTTGCCACTGTTTTGCCACAAGGCATTTCTTATCTTCCAATTCAGCAAAAGCACAAGAATATGTGAACATGCGGATGGTCTCAGCTGATAAGGAGTAAGATTGAGAAACTCTGCTCTATATTCATCACATATTATTATTATTATGCAAAGGACAGTTAATGTGTGTTGACCGGTTTTACCTGTATGGCAATGGGAATGAGACCTTTCTCGGGGTGTTCATACAGTAAGCAAAGCGGGGCAGCTATGTGCTGTATCTTGTCTCTGATTACATTGGCAGGAATCCCATCCATTATCGCATAGTCAACCAGGAATATATTTCCTTTCTTCAAAGGAGAGACAACGAAACATTCTTCGATTCACTGTTCCAATAATCCATTGTATTCAAGAAAATAAACACTAACTCTCACCTTGAGTTCCTCCTTCAAAGTGGTTGTAGGTATGAGAAAGGACTGTACCATGTCTCCAGTGACAGGGAAGTTTGAGGGCACCTCTTTGCACCTGGCAATCATCCGTGGGTTTGAGCCGTTCAGGAATTGGTAACCAAAAAACCAGTCTTCTCTCCAGTGCTTCATGGTGTATTCTGAACAGAATATTCATCACAAATTCATGTTATTCATTTAATAGTGTAGCGCCAATACAGCTAACGACAGACTTGATAAGTCTTTCTGTGGAAATGTCCACTCCACTCTGGTTGTTATATATACTGCATTGTAAAAAAAAGAAACAAATTACAGTTTTTTCTTTACTCCAGATAACATGTTGATATTTTCATTTTTCTCATCAGCATGTGAAATTATGAGACTGTACAGAAGCCTATTTTTTGAGGTAAGTGCAGTTTAGTTTATTATTGATTTTTTTTTTTGATAAACCAAACAGAATGTTTATATTCAAGCACCTATTTTTTTTCACAATTTATACCTTCAGCATTAAAATTCATTGTCAGACGCATTGTGAGCTTTCATAACCTAGAGTTAAAAATGGGTGAAACGTCCCAACACTGTTGTAAATGTGGAATTTTCACATGCCATTGATTTGTGATTAGTCTATGAGAGGTTTATGAGAGGTTACATAAACAAGTTACAAAATATTTTTTTTTCTGGGAAGAGAGAATTGAGAGATTTCATGAAATGCAAATTTTGTGGTAACTAACTTAAAGGAGAACTCCGGCGAACAATGAACCTTCGGTCTAATAAAACATCGGTACCTAGTCAATCGTTCTCTGAGTTTTGTTTTCATGATAATCGAATGTAAAGAGTTTTATCTCTAAAAACTGTTTAGCGTATAATGCTAGTAAATGGGGGCATTGAGTAAGTAAAAAGAAATCGCTAGTTTATACCACTAACAAGGCTCAAAATAGCCCCACACTCACACAGTAACATAATGAGGCTCCATACATACAAAACGAAGCATTGAGAACTTTGTAAGTGTACAGATGTAACAGGTACATAAAGTGTACTGTTAAATGTATTTATAGTTTATTAGAATTCCCACAAAATTGTTTGTTGACATATACCTGATATTACTGCCTAAGTGGAGTCGAGTGTCTTTCCCTTTAATTGATGTGATGTCATGAGTCAATATAATTTCCTGTTCTGTCTCCTCCTCTTCCTCTTTGCACTGGTGATGCAGTGAGAGGTGAGGTTATTTTAGGCTCCTGATAATCATCTTTAATCGTAATCTTAATTGTTGTTTTTATGTCTAAATTTTCAATCTAATTCCTGTGTATAATGTTATTTTACTTATCTGTGTGGCTATTTCCGTAATTTTGTCCCGATTAAGTGATGTTTTAACATCTGGGCCTAAATGTGAAATGAGAGCATGTGACAAGTGTACATCACATTTGTTTTATAGAGCTAGAGAGGGCGATTCTCACTAAGAGGCTGATTACATTTTATTTGTGCATCAGGTATGTCTTCTGTTATACGTTTATGTTTTATATGCATTTTATTGTGATTCTTCCTCTTTGCACTGGTGATGCAGTGAGAGAGCTAGAGAGGGCGATTCTCACTAAGAGGCTGATTACATTTTATTTGTGCATCAGAATAAACGATCGCTGAAACTGCTGAGTGAGTCCTGTCCTGTTCTTCCCACGTGAATGAAAAACACAACGCAGAAAAGAGACCAGTTACACTTGGTGCCGTGATCATTTCGGATCATCAGATCAGCGCTTCGCCGATCGCCGTGGTTGCGTGACGGCTCGCACGCTTCGCAGATCTTCCTCGCCGAACTTCTTCCTCATCGCCATTGCTCGTGGAGGCTCCAGCTCGCGCACGAGGAGGGCGCGTGTGTGAGACGAACAGTGTGCGACATCGCGGGACGAACTGTTGCGTCTTAAAGGAACGGTAAACGGTTGTTGACTCCTGAAACTTTTTTTTCCCTTCTTTCTCTGGAGCGCTTTCGTTGGTCGTTGTATATTGAACGACGGAGACTGTGAAAAGCACTGCGGGACGCTTCTGTTTACGTCATGCATCGTATCCTTTATCTATACACTATAATAAATGACTGTGAGGAATTTTAAACAAGATAAAGTGTACAATTGATTTTGATGAAGTATATATTTTATTTTCACTGTGAATTTTGTAAGTGAACAGCATTTGATATCTTGTATTTCTCTGCATATTTGAACTGTTCAACAGTTGAGGTTTTGCTCTTGTGCAGATAATTTGCTCTTATTTTTGCATATTTTTTTTTTCCTTTCCTGTTTCATTTCACAAATTGAAACATGTCTGAGGGTCCTAGCAAAGATGATTTTAGTCCTGTGAAAAATTCTAATGTCACTTTTCCACTGGGAAGAGGTCATGGGCCTGAAATTTATGAAAATGAGGGTGTGTCTGAATTTACACGTTGCTATGGGAGAGGGAGAGCATTAGCTAATTTGGGACTTGACCGTGTGCACACAACCGATTCAGCAATTGGTTTTTCTGTAGGTCCAGCTGCTAGCTCCACCCCAATCATACAACCTGACTTTGATCGTGTTGTTACTCCTGAGTCGTTAGGGGGTATCATTTCAGATCTGGCTCAGAAAATAGGAGAGAGTATTTCAGCCAGCCTTAACCTTGCGCACCAGCCCAGCCCAGTACAGTCTAATCCACCCTGTCATTCTCAGCATTCAAGTGATGGCATTGATAAATCTAGCCTCAAAGTGATAGTACAGCAAGATGCACCACCACCACCATTCTTCAGGGGAGATAAGAGTGATTCATTTACTGTGCACGAGTGGGAAGATATGATGTACAGTTATTTGAACAGAATGAAATGCCGAACGCAAACTGATGTCTCTGATCTCATCCTGAGCAGATTGGCTGGCAAAGCGAGAGATGTGGTTAAAGTGTCCCTGCGAAGCCGCCCCGAACTGAGTGCCAGTGAGTTCCCAAGTGCAGTGTTTGACATACTGAAACGCAACTTCAGTGAGTTGTCTTACTCTAACATGCCCATGGCTGACTTCTATAACACCGTCCCTAGAGCAGATGAAAGTCCCATGGATTACTGGATACGGCTTAACAAGTCCATAGATGTTGCTGATGAGTGCTTGCGCAGACACAATAAGAGTGTTGAGGATCCCGCTGCTGAAGCAGTCATGATGTTTATTTCTCATTGCCCGGACCCAAGTCTTGCTTTGTCTTTTCAGTTTAAGCCAGCAGAGAAGTGGAGCGCTGCTGAGGTCCAGGAGCGCTTGGATAGTCATCAGAGGGATCTAAAGAGAGTCTCCTCAAGGAAGCAGCACGCAATGTCCTTGTCAGCTAGCAACCAGTGCACTGTTATGGCAGGCCCCAATAATGTGCCTAGTTCTCTTCCTCAGCCTGTTTCCATGACCAGTTCTCCTCAGCAGCCAGTTTCTATGCCAGCCCAGTCACTGACTCCGGTGAGTCCTCTTAATCCATATGCTGTTCCCTTCTCTCCAGATACCAGCCTTCAGCACATTGTTGGCATGATGGATCGAGTCCTGTCTTTGTGCACTGCCTCTTTAACTTCACCCAGTCAGGTTCACCCAGGCAAGACTCCAGATTTCAAAACCAACTTGAGCACTGCATGTAGGGTCTGTAGATCCAAGGAACACACAACGTATGAACATTGTAGACGCCAAAGGCTGTGTCGTCTCTGTTTCAGTCCTGGCCACTTTAAGAGTGACTGTCCTAAAGCAGCATGCCTTGCATCTCCCTCAGATACTGCTCAGTTAAACTGAAGAGCCCATGCGATGAGAGGGGTAGCATGGGCAATTTAAGTAAAACCTCCCTCACAGAAGATGTGCAAAATGTTTTTGCTAACAGTTGCAAACTATTTCCAGAAGACAAAACCGTGTTATATGTGGGGTCTCAGAGAGTTGATGGGGCAAGTGAGTTGTTTTATGCTCCTGTGACAGTCTGTGACCGGTGCACATTAAAGGGGTTGCTGGATTCTGGTAGTATGGCCTGCACGCTTAGTGAAGAGGGTGAGTCCAAGCTGCAAGCTGATGGTCTTCTTCCGTATCCTCAAACTGTTGCGGGTAATGTGGTCCTGGTTGGCTGTGGTGGCCTTACGATTCAGCCGAAGTGTTCATACGACTTGGAGATTGAAGTCTATGGATTCAAGTTTGTCGTTCCCACCCTTGTGGTGCCTGGACAAAGAGATGAGTTCATAATAGGAAGTAATGTGATCAAATGTGTCGTGCAGAAGATGAAATCGCATGACAAGTACTGGGAGCTTGTTTCCTGCAAGAACAGTAATCCTGAGTGTGAGCAATTCCTTGAGCTTCTGAGCTGCATCTCCCGATGGTCTGGGCCTCAACAACCTGATAAACTTGGGACTGTAAAACTCCGTCAGGCAATAACTCTGCTTCCCAAATGTGAGTATCTTGTTTGGGGCAAATTGCCAGCTAATGTACCTGTTTCCCCAGGAAGTACTGTAATTGTTGAGCCAACCACGGCACGTTCAGCTCCTAAAAACATTCTTGTCGGACGCGTAGTAACACCGATGTGGGGTGATCGATGGGTGCCAATGAAGATAGTGAACCCAAACCCAATATCAGTGTCGCTTCGCCGTAACACTAAAGTGGCTGATGTTTCTTCCTGTCTAGCCGTGGAGGATTTTCCTGTCATGCAGGGTCTGAGCAGAACTCAATGTGATGTTCCTGATTCAAATCCACACATTACTGACTCATCCGTTAATCCAGCACAGCCGTTGAAGGATCTTGGTCTTAACGAAATTGACATTGATGGATGTGAAGTCTCTGGGATGTGTAAGAGGAAATTGACGGATCTTCTTGTATCCTACCATGATGTTTTCTCAAAGGACAAGCTGGATTGTGGAGAGACAAAGGACTTTGTGCACAGGATCCATCTTTATGATGAGCGTCCATTCCGTCTGCCCTATCGCCGCATCCCACCTGCCCACTATCAAAAATTGAGAGAAGTGTTGTCAGAAATGGAGGAGAAAAGCATAATCAGCAAGTCTGTCAGTGAGTATGCGTCACCCTTGGTGATGGTCTGGAAAAAAGACGGTAATCTGAGGGTCTGCACTGATTTTCGCTGGCTCAACGCTAAAACCATCAAAGACGCCCACCCTCTACCCCATCAAGCTGACTGTCTCGCAGCCTTGGGTG